AGTGCAACCTCTGTCTGAGACTACTCAGAGAGGCCATACCTCAAGTGAGGTGAAATAAAAACAAAAACAAATACGTTGTATGCACCAGAATGGCCTCTCACAGTCAGTCACTCTTTGCTCTCCAAGCTCGCGTGCGCGGTAGGGCAAGGAGGAGAGGGCCTTCCCCTTGTGCCCATCCCCACAGACAGTATGGGAATGCAACATGTTACTGGATACACAGCAAGCAGCACTACCATGCTTGGGCTTTTGCCATAAAGTATTTATACAAGTGAACTGTGCCATGCACGTGGCATTCAGTCCAATGTAAAACATGTTAGACATAAGAAAACATAGGAGAACCATGTCTCATCTACCCTGTAACCATCTATTCTATTCTAAAATGGCAAAATTGCAGATTTAATTGCCATTTACAAGCAAAGAGGATTGCTTCTTAACAGTTTGAGTTGGATTCTGTGATCATGTGTTCTATAGGCTATGTGTGTAGCATGTAAGGCTTAATTAGCACTAATGGACAACAGTCCATGACAGTCAACAGTGACCCACCCCCAGTTCTGAAGTAAATTTCTCATTCATATAAAAATGTATATTAAAAGTCTGAAAGCTTGCTCTGGACTTATCAGCTATGTGGTAACTAAAAAATATATTTTAATTTAAAATCTGTTTTTAAAACTTTAGACTGCTAAGTTATTAAAGCAATTTGGCAATGTTTTAAACATGCTTTTTGCACTTAAAACAACTGTGTTATGGATATTAGTTACCACATAGCTGGATAGCCTCTGCTATGCCCTTGAACTCTTAATATTTTTATTTTTAAGTTTATGGGATGAATAATGGAATAATGGAAAATTTACAACTGGAACTAGAGCGGATGGTCACTGTTGAGGTCCTTTGCCTGCATATTACTGAACCAACATGTTAAACACATGCATAACATTTAGTTAGGAGATTTTGAAGTTCTACGTGCTGCTCAGTGATGTCATATCATTGATAGCATGGTTTCCTTATACATACCTAGCCACTGGACAAAAGACTTCACCATAGAAATGATGCTCTTGATATCCCAGATGTATGGGTAGAGGTCGTAGAGGATAGTTCTGTTGGCTGAATTGGAAAGGCGTGTAAACATGTGTATGACGGAGCAGCACATCTCCTCAAATTTCTCAGCCCTTGTCTTCCATTCAGTCATCTGTAGAAAACACAAATTAGGATGAGACTTTAACAACATTGTACATTTAACAAACTATTAAACGCAACATTTCTCTCAGACAGCATTCTTAGTGCTACCACACCACCTAGTGGATAATAATGGCAGTAGCTATCCACCATTTTGTAGGAATGAAATTACAAATATCGAAGAATAAACAATCATTCACCTTTTCATCATCTTTTCTTTTGCAGTTGACGCTGACAACACTGCTATTGGCCCGGAGCCAGTTGAACTCCTTCAGCATTTGCATGGCTTTGGGTCCATGTTCATATGGTAGGTAAAAAAGTTCTGCCAACAAACCCAGATCCTCAATCGTAAGAAGCTCTGCTGTAAATAATGGTTTCTCATTGGGACCAGGCACAAAAATATCCTACAGGGAACAACCAAAGAAGACTTAGTTTCTCCTTCTTTGATAATGTTTTAAATACCAGATGGCGGGAATACCTGTTTGAGCTGTTCATCTGTCTGCATTGGGGCAATATCACTGCCCGAGTCTTCTTGAATAGACTCTTCAGGGGACTTAGACTCTGAGAGACTCTCTTTGTCTGTATCCATGGGCTTCAGGTCTTCAGCCATCTTCTCAGTCTGAATAGGACTAACCTGCTTATCCTCAGAGTCCGCCTGCACCTCAGGTAATGCTTCATCCTGCTTCTCAACTACCATTTCCATGGGCTCTTCCTCAGACTCTTTTTTCTCTGCCTCCACCTTTGAGCACATCCAAATTATTATTATTCATTAGTTTAATATATTTTCACTGTAACAATACACAAAAAGTCATAATGAAATGTGTAAAATTAGTTTTACCTCCACTTCATCTTCAGTTTGTTTTGTCATAGGAAGAGACAGCGGATCCAGACACAAAGGGGGAATTGCGGGCGACATAATTGGCTGCTGGAAGACTGTTGTAACTGTTGTAGATGAGCAGAGTGATGGAGCAGCCAATGATGCTATATCTATGGTTGCACTTTTAGCCCCACTCTGAGGTACCTGGCGGCCTGAGTGAATACATTTCATCATTAGGTTTGTCAAATACAAAAAAATAAACTGACTTTATGATTTATGAGAACTCGTACTGTTATATTGATGTGGCACTCCAAATTCTCCAAGCCATTCTGTTAGGGCAAGTTTTAAGGCCAGCTGTGGACTGTAAAGCATGTCTGTCTCTAGCTCTTCATCGCTGCCTTCATTCTCCAATTTTATTTGTATAGAAACTGTGCTGTCCTCACCATCCGCTTAAGAAAACAATATGTTCAGTGTTATTCATCATATCTACTGTTATTTCTGAATTTCAATAAATGAGTGATCAGTACATACTCATAACAACATCTTTGCGGACACCATTCATGTTTGATTTGTACCATGTGGCAAGAGTGTGGATAGCTACAAAATTCGACTCAAACTCGCAGTTGGGATTAGTAAGGACTCCCTTCAGTCTAGGGATGAGCTCTGTGGACCGACCCTTGTATGGCCCCAGGAACAACCTCTTCTGATCATAGTCATTTGCATGAATGTTATCCCAGATTACTGGTGCTCTTCTGAGGATTTTAGAAACTTCCTCAATAGACTCCACTGTGATGTCTTTGGACACAACTTTAGGACCTTGAAAAATATAAAAGTTTGGATAAATAAACCCTAAGATACTGGAACTAATTAAAAGAAAAACTAAATGTTGTCACAGGATCATCTACTGAGGTCTGTATAAAGACAAGATGCTCACCGGTCCAAAGTACATCTACGCCTGGCAACAGCTTTTCTCCTACAGTGTGGAGGTAAGGCGACTGAGAAACATTTGGGTAGCAAAAGGTTCCACAATACTCTGTGGAAAAGACATCAGAAAATATTAACTATTATACTTCCTACTGAATTAACAGTGTCTGTATTTTTTTTATATAAAGCTTCTTTTTTACCTGTAGGGCAAAAGAGGAATGTCTGTGGCTCTCCTAGATATTGGTAGATTTCATTTGTGATTGAAACTTGAGCATGTGCAAATGAACTAAAAACTTCTTTGTCAGCAGGGCACATGTTGTGATCAATATCATCAAAAAGTAAGGCAAAAGACTTGCAGCCAAAATGTGTAACCTAAAGAACAAGAAATATTTGGCCTTATAAAATAGTGTTTTAGCTTGCCCACAATAGTTTTGGTGAATCAGAAACCATACTTGCCTGATCCAATTTTCGTTTAAGAGCAGAAACTTCTTTCTGATTGGAGAAGGTTATATCTAACCCAGGAGATATGGCATATATAAATTCTATGCCATGCTCTTTTGCAGCACCAATAAGAGTCATGAGTTGTTCTGTGATAAAAAAAAAAAAAAAAAAAGAAAAAAAAAAATCAATCCAAGCATGGTCTCGTGACATAAAATAAGAATAAAGTAACATAAATACATAAAGTTACCAGCTTCTTCAACGGAGTACAACTCTCGCCAAAACATTCTGTGCTTGTAGTCATCTTTGGGTGCATACAAGTATGTGTTTAGACCCCACTTCTGCTCCCTATGAAGAAGTAAATTTTTCGTTTTTTAAAAAATTAAGTATGTTATGTACTGTTAATGTATTAGAAGAACATACCTCCTGAACAGTTCTTTTCTTTGCTCCATTGTCCATGGACGACCATAAAACCCTTCAACGGAAAAACAAAATATGTTTACAACTATATGCATCGGTGGTGGGCAGAGGTCCATTTTATATAAGAGTACATTGGATTTTTTTATTTTTATTTTTTCGGATCACATATAATTTAATCTGGAGGTACTTCTATCACAAAGGCCTGACTGCTGATGTAACAATTAAATAAGCCCCGCCAAGGTTTGGACATACACATTTTTAGCTGATTGCTGACGGATTAACATAATATTGATGATATATTTAGCTTTACCTTCCACGACCCCACTGATGAATTTCCTCTGATCCGACAACTCGACATGGTTAGATTCTTGGGCCGTGCCTGGGGCCTCCACACAAGGCTCTACGGAGATTGGACTAGTGCTTGGATCACCGTCGATTTGTGAGGTCTCTGCCGTCTTATCCTTTTGAACCATCGCTGGAAAATATTGTTTCACCTAAATTCTGATGCACTTCAAATGACGCCAATGTGTTGACAATTTAGGTCACTAGGCAAAGCAGACAAGCAAAATCCAGAAGATCGCGTCACCGTTTGAGAGTACCTCGCAATTGTAATTATTTATCGCAGTATTTGAAAAATATTCAAGCAAATCATATATCCTGTAGTTGATGTTAACATTTGAACACACAAAAAAGTAAAATTTTAGCGCGTATTCTTGGGTAAACGCTCAATCCCTCTTCAAATTTCTCTGACCTGGTTTTTGCTGTTCTTCCTGTTTACACCGAATGCGCATGCGCTCGAGGCTGGCTCAAACCAGTTAAAACTGGAGCCACACGAGCGAATGACCCGGATCACCATGGAAACAAACCGTATTCTGCTCTCGCACTTCAACAGCAACACAATCAGCTCCAGTCACGTGTTTTATTATAAAGAGTGTAATTTAGTATCAGAAATAAGCAGTAGATGGTCTGCAAGCTATTTCTCTCTTACCCCGCATAAATTTAAGATGTTTATATAAATTAATATTTATATACAAGTCATATAGCCAATGCATGACACTTAGCCACAATATTGTATGTATGTCTGTATACCGGTATGTATACCGGTATGCATGTCTGTATATATAGATATATAGATGTAGTATAGTATTGGTGTGAAAAGGAGACTGAAATATATCAATTTCAATATACGAAGTTAAAATATATAAGAAGTTAAAAAAATAACAAGCAGTTTTACCTTTTCAGATTTATTATGTAGTACACTTGATGTATTACATAGTTAAAGTTTCATTCTCTATCATACCCATTTAAAAGTAATGTTCTCCTTATACAATCCAAAATATTTTTTACAATTAAATAAACATTTAAAAAATTACTTAATTTTACTTAGATCTTTTTTTAACCTCTTTTGCCATTTTCATTATAAATCTTCGCTTCAATAGAAGGTGTTAAGCTTTCAGAAATAAAAACAAACAAATAAAAGTAAATACGTTGTCATTTTGGAGCCAGCATTTGGCTCTGAGGTACTGTCTGCAGACATCTATGGCAGGCCTCTCGTTACCTCTTCAGATTCTGTTGAGCCTGCTTCAATAAAGTGTCGAAGTCTAGTGCATGGTATTTGTTTCTTGAAGGCAGTGGTTCATACTCTTTACTAGAATCTGAAAAGATATTTAATGGAAAAATTTTACTAAAACGTTTAACATTATTCATTAAGTGAAGTGTAATGTATTTACCTAGATCAGCATAGCTAGTTTGGCAAAACTGTCTCCGTCCTCCGAAACACAAATCAAATGGCATCTCATCAGGTTTGCGCAGCTTGCTTCCATTCTCAATGGCCATAAAAGCATCATTAGTGTTATAGTACGTCACAAACCCATAGTTATCCCTATGACAGAAAGAACACAGTCTATGAGTAATTAGAGGAAAATTCAGAGTTCCAGTTCAAGATTATTATTTTAAAGTGTGACATGCTTTTAAAGAGCAGTCTGGGTGTGCTGCCAGAATGCCCCAGTTATGAACAAGCCTTTACTCTAGCACTGTAGCTTGGCCAAAAAGGTCATTAATGGAGACCAAAAAGGTTCAAAGACAGTGCTCATAGACTTTTGGCAAGTACTTTAACCTACCCATGATCTCTAAAATGCAGGGTGCACTCCTCAATCTCCCCGAAATAAGAGAAGCGCTCTTTAAGCTCTTTCTGAGTCATTGTGCCTCTAATTCGGCCCACGTAAACAACACGACGCTCTTCCTAAAATTAAAACAGATTAATGATAAGTTGACAAGTTCTCATTTCGCCTTTGAAATTGTGTTTTGATTCAGCACTTACTATGGCTTTCTCCTTTCTTCTTTTAAGTTCAGGATTGCTTTTCACATTTGTATAATACGAGTCTCTGTAGGAAGGGCTGCAAGAAACAACATTTTTAATTTTGGACACAATATAAAATTAAAGTAACGATAAGCACCAACTGATCTGGTTACCTGTACGCTTGCCTCTTCCTACTCCATTGAGGAGATCCAGATCGAGATCTAGAACGACTCCATGATCCAGAGCGGGATGAAGAATAAGAGTATCTTCTCTGGCGAGGAGGGGAACGAGACAGGGAAGACGAGGTGGACCGCGAAGAGTTGCTGGAACTGCTTCTGGAGTGACGTGGTCGATACCTGGAAACATCATGACTGCCATTAAACCTGAACAATGAATACATCATGTTTAGCAACCTAGTAATTACCTTTTTCTAGGAGGAGAGTATGATCTTGACCTGGATCTTGAGGAACGGGAATTTGACTCTGAGGAGTCTGATCTAGAACTTGAACTGTGGGATCTTCTGATTCTAGAGCGGCCTATAGGCTTCTCTTTGGGCCTTGGTGTGTGGGAGGAAGCACGTTTGCGATAGGACCTCACAAACTTCCCTCGTTTAGGACAAGTTTTATTATCATCTTCATCTCGTGTGGGAGAAGCATCAGGAGTTTCTAAAACTGAACTTGATTCCAAATTGGCATTTTTTTTATCAAGCTCTTGTGCTTTGACTGTACATGTGGTGGGCTGGACAGGGGGTACCTGAGCATTCTGCAGTGTTTGTGTAGCGGTCTGCTTTATTAGTTTAATGGTTATTGAAGAGTGTTGTTTGACATTCCAGCGCTTTGCAGCCTCACCACATGAAGTGCTTTTGTTAGGAAGACAGTATCATGATCCTGGCATGCCATGTCCGGATCAACAGAAGCAGCAGCAGTAGTACAAAGTTTGCTACGGGCTTTAGCCAAGGGCAGAGGCTGAGCCTCTATTTCAATCACTCTTGAGGAACCTGACTTTGTCTCCATCGTCTTGCTCTTCCCCAGCAGAGACACCGGGGCCAGAGGTTTCCACATAGGGTGAGGAGGAGTAGCTGGGGGAGTTAGAGCTGCAACAGAGATAGGTGTGATTATACGATTTTGTCTTTTGGTTGAGAAGTACTATGCAAAATAAATCTTATACGGAGCTGTACATGTACATCTTTCACATAGACATAAATTATGGATGGATACCTGTGCTTGAAAGATCATTAGCTCTAATATGCTCCACAACCATTTTGTCAGAGAAGTCAATGCTGCTGAGAAGGAAAAAAAAAAGAATTTATTATTACTGCTAATGCAATACAAATGGGTAGATAAATAATACAAAATTAATGTTAATGCCACTTCTGCGGTAGGTCTCGGCATAGGATGAATGCTGTCACCCTCAGGCACTCGCTTTACATGGATTTACACCAAAGTTTTAACCATTATCCATTTGACAAGCACATGGTACATGCATCTGGTGTAAATCCAACACCACACATTATACCATTCATTCTGAGCAGTTTGTGGGCTGTAGGGTAACTCACCTAGAGTTTCCTACAGCTACTGCTCTACCAAAGACCTCCGGCAAACATTGATCCTCTTTGGCTAAAGGGAAAGAACAAGGAATAATCTAATTAATTTAGCTATCAAGAAAAAAAAGCATCAATACACAGCTGAATTTAAGAAATGTAGATCATAATAAAGGGTGTCACTGTTACAGTGCAATAGGTCATGCTTAAATTGGCTGTCCTGAACAAAGGGGGAACCGGATTTGCGGACAGGGCAACATTCCAACAGCTAAGCAGACCCTACCCATCACTTGTAGAAGAGGTTACTATGAAATGTTATAAATGAAAGCTAAAATGTACTTTAAACTTTTTTTTTTCCTTCAGAAAATGTATTTTTAAAACAGACCTTGGGTTTCCTCAAATTGCTCCAGCAGACTGGTCAAGTCGGAAGCTTCAATACCTAAAATAAAAACATCACAATGAGGTCAGGCATAATTTAAGAAGCCATTTGTGCAAGCATTAAAATAATTCTTGATGTGTTCAAAATGATGCCACAACAAAAAATTAATTTACAAGTGTGCAACACTCAAACTTACCCATCTCACTTGAAAATGCTTCTATCAGTTCTTGTGTGGGGCTCTTCGTTTCCACAGATTTTACTACTGGACATTCTTCAGACTTTCCAGAATTACTTTGATTCATCACTTTGAGATGTGTGGCAGGAGAGGAAGAGCTCTGACCACATGAGCCATTAGACTTAGGAGTCTCGTCAGTTGGGTGAACTTCGGCTTTAATCTCAGGAGAAGCAGCAGTGTTTGAGACAGAGGTCAAAACATTAGCAGCAGGTTTAATCCCCTCTGTAGTGGTTGTTGCCGATGATGGAGGAGATAGATCGTTTGTGACATTTGAGTCTCCTTTAGTAGGCTCTTTTGTGTGTATGGGTGGAGCTGAAGTATTTGGATTATGCTGAGAAGAAGCGGCCTGCTGAGGTTTAGTAACAGCTTTGTTGCCAGAGTTTATCATGTAGGCCGGTGGTGCCAACAATGCCTCAGGTGTGGGTGGTGCACCTGGGCCACGTGGCATCCATGCTGGCTTGACCTCCTCCACCTCCTTAGCCTGAGCCCGGGACAGACGAGGATCTCTGGGGCTGGGCTCAGGGAGATGGGGGATTGGTGGTAGTTCTCTTGGAGGTTCTGGAAGGCTGGGCCACTTGGTGCTATTATCATCCTGCTTTTCTACTGGTGCCGGCTTTTTCTGCTGTCGGAGGCGCCGATACTCTGCCAGACTGAGGGCTTTGGGTTTTGGTTCTGCAGAAACAGGAGGTAAAAGGGGATGTGGCACTCCAACAACTGTTGTTGATTGGGACACTTCAGGGATAGCTGCTGCTTCGAATGAAACATCTTTGGAAGCAGTTGGTGCAACAGTTTGCGGCTCAGGAGCTGGGACTGATGGAGATTGTGTGGATTCAGACTGCTGTACATTCTCCACTGGTGGACTAACAGATTGATTCATCTCAGTCTTTTTGAAAGAAATGTGCAATGTAGTTGATATGGTGGCTTCCGACATATTAGTTTGGCTTACAGTTAAATGCTTGGGTTTGGCACTAGTGGTGGTTGTAGCA